CAGGCTTCTCCCCCCCCCCCCCCCCCCCGCTTTCGAGGAAATAAGGCAGTTGGTGTCAGCTTGGCCGGAAGTCTCCTCTCCTTCCCCCATGTGAAGTGCACAGGATACAGCAGGAGAGGGTCTCCTTGTGAGAAAAGCCTCGCAGTTAAAGATTAGATGCAGACATAGTGTTATTACTCTGGGGAGAAAGGATGCCCGGCGGTTCTGGCAAAGACGGCCCCAAAGGACCCCTTCCCCCAGTCCTGCCCAGAGCAAGGGTCCTCCACAGGAAAGGGAGAATTCTCCAAGGCAAGGAGACCCTCTTTTGAAGAGCTTTCAAGACACGGCTTCCTGCTGCCCTCTGAATGGAACCTGACGCCTCACCACAGCAACTGCAGGACTGCCTACTCATAGCCCTGAAGATCCAAAGTTAAGAATGGCAAAGGCTGGAGTGGGGTGGCGGGGGTGGGGGTGAGGTGTGGCCGAAATGGGGATTTGGGGGGGGGGGAAGGGTCGCAGGGTGTGGATGCAGCACACTGGACTCTGCAACTGGAGCGGGAAACGGAAGCCCCCCACTCGCTGGGGCCTGGCACTTCCTGAAGTGATCCAGCCGGGTCCCGGCTGGACCGCTTTAGATGGCAGGCGGAAGCTTGTGTGACCGAAGGGGGCTCTGGCGAAACAAACCGGGTTGGGGCCCGAGGGCATGTCTGGCTGAAGGGAGCGTTCCTTCTGCTCCTCTGACTGGAGGTGAAGGGGCCCCCGCTAGCAGAAAGCCCCTTTGGCTTGTACCCAGCTGTGCCGTTCTGCAGAAGGAAGTGCCCGTCCGCTTTTGGAAGCAGGGGAGGGTGAGCTGTGCTGGTTCCCACTCCCGCGTCACTCCCTGGGTTGTTCCTGAGAATCCACCGACTCCCAGAAACAAAGCCGTATGTGTGCACGCAAAAGGACACACAGCAGGAGGGGGAAGTGGGTAAGTCCCGCTTCCCGGGCCAACCTTACCGGATCGGAGCTGTTGCCTCAAACTTTTTTTTTTTTTAAACAAAGCCCCAGCATGTCAGGAAGAAGCTCCACTAGAACCCACCCCTCCGATATTTCATGTTCTTTGTCGAGAAGCATCTGGTCACATGAGCTCCAGCTGACCATCTTAAGTGGTGTGGCCCGGGCACCGGTTCGCCACTTCTGTGAGAAAGGGGCCCAGGATTTCCTAAAGACGGACTGTTGTTTTGTGCTTTAAATACACCTGCGTTGTGCTTAAAGTGTGTCGTCTGCCCCCAGCAGGATGCTCGACACTGCCAGCACCTTCCTTAACGGCACCGAAGCGTTTTAAACCGCACTCCCGCGACCAACTGGAGGGATTTCCCCACGTTCTTCCTATGGGTTTCAAGTCGGCGGATCACCCATCACCTACGCTCGGGCAGGGCAGGGGCCTGTTGAGACGGTGATCGGTTCAACCGCTCTGGATCCTGGATATTGCTGTAATACTTCCAACATTTCATCCAATATGTAGATGACCCAGTCAAACACATGTGAGGAGAGATTCTAAAGCCTGCGTTCCACACGGTGGAACCCTGGCTCTGAAGAGACTTTGGTGCCGGCGTGGATATAAATGGGGTATTTTTTCTATTTCAGAAAGAAAAGGGAAAAGAAAAGAAAAAGAAAAGAAGAGCGGAGTCTCTTAAAAAGAACCCAAAAGGCACGGCACGATCACTTCACATGGGTTTTCTGATAAGCTCGTCGTGTTTCATCCTTAAATGCTAATTCCCTAACTAACAGTCCAAATATACAAAGCCTAACAAAACCACCAGCAACGCACACTGTTCGGCCCGTTTACCGTTGCCTCTTTCGGACGGAGAGGCAACCGAGGGCAGCTTATAACAACTTCTCCAGTGATCAGAATGAGGCCCGGGGGCAGCTCTGCGCAGCCCCCTCTTCCCCTTTTTTCAACCCCCCCCCCCAACTTCTCTTTTTTCTGTTCTTTGAGGAACCTTCTAACACAAGAGTCCTGTCAAAATCCTACCAGTCAGATCCCGGGTCTTGTCGGTATACGGAGATCATAGACCTGTTTGCCAAAGAGCCGAGGATTTGTCACGGTGTGTACAGAGCGGACATTTCCTGGTTTGCGCATCGAGAAAAACGTTCCACGCCCACGACCAGGGCTGCCCCGGGGTCCTCCAAGGATCGGCTGCAGCCTGGTTCTATCTCGGCAGCTAAGAGCCAAGTCTGCAGGGACCTGGGCGCACTACACTCCTGGTTTCCCTTAAAAATCAACCCACGTCTTTGCTGAGTTCCATTTGAGAGAGAGAGAAAAAAAAAGGTATTGCTTTTATTGCCAAGAAGTATGGTGCATCTGTTTTCCTTCCTGAACTCCGCCAGGTTCCTTCTGACAGACAAGATGCAGCACGCAGAACACCAGACAGTTCGGAAGGGCCACGTCAGCTTGCCTGCACTTCCTTCCTTCCTTCCGTCCTCCCTTCCTTGAAGCGCCCTGGTTGCCTGCCTGCCTCCTGTCCTGCCTCTGTGAAAAGTGCGGTACCTGCCTCCAGCTCCCGCCACCAAGCTTTCTGGGACAGTGACGCTCAGCCGTTCCCTGCTAGTACCAATTCGGAGGGTTAGTACATTCACCCAGTAGGGTCAAGGATTGGATCGTAAGCCAAGAATTTGAGGGATGGAACATAAATGGAAATCCACGCGTGTTTCAGTCCTCCGCTTTAACCGAACCACCTTCTGCCCAGGAACGCTCCGACCCCTGCTAGTTCACCAAGACGTAGCCGCCATGTTGGGGGTCAACAGTTTCCATCATTTCGCAATCAAAGAGACCCGGGAACTCCCCCAGGCCTAAGGCCTCGTAGCTGGACGGGGCCCCGGGAGAGTCAGAGCTTCTCTGGTTGTCGGCGGCTGCCACGCCGCTCTGCTGCGCCGGGTCCAGGGGATATTGATGCGGGCCGGCATAGTCTGGTTCCGACGAGGCGCCCAGCGGCAGTTCGCAAGTCTGATAGGGATACTGCGGCTGCAGGGGGATCTGCGACGGCAGCCGAGACGCGCCGTGGACCTGGGGCGAGGGCGGCTGGTCGAGCGGAAGCTTCGGGTACTGGCTGAGGAAAGGGTCGCACTGCATCTGCTCCGCGGCCGGCTCCAGGAGAGGGCTCAGGGGCTGCACCAGGCTGAACGGGGGAGGGTGTGGTGGCGGGGGCTGCTGCTCTTCGTGGCAGGGAAGGGGCAGCTGGCTGGACCGGGGGTACGTCCCTTCGGCTATCTGCATCTGGTTGAAGTAAGCCTGCAGCTGGGATTGCTTCTGCAGGAAGAGCCGTTTCTGGTGCAGCCTGGAATCAAAGGTGACAAGGAAAAATCAGTTTGGCCTTCCCCAAGCGCCATGACCGGTCCCTCCTCCCGACTTTGACATTTGCCCTCTCTCACATCAGAAGAGCCCTGCTGGATCAGACCAGGGAGGGCCCACCTAGTCCAGCACCCTTCCTCTCTCGCGCGGTGCCCAGCCAGTTCCTTTAGAGGTCTAACAACAGGGCCTACAGGCTGAGGCCTTCCCCTGATGTTGCCTCCTGGCTCTGGGACTCAGAGGATTAGTGCCTCTGAATGTGGAGGTTCCCCTCAGCCACCACGGCTAGTAGCCACTGACAGACGTATGCTCCATGAATCTATCTCACCCCCTTTTAAAGCGGTTTATTCCTGTGGCCGTCACTACATCCTCCGGCAGCGAATTCCACTCGCTGTGTAGAGAAGTATTTTCTTTTGTCTGCCCTGAACCTACTGCCCACCAGCTTCACTAGATGCCCTCAAGATTTAGTATTTTGGAAGAGGGAGAATATGTTCTCTTTGTCAACTCTCTTCACCCCATGCATAATCTCATAAACCTCTATCAGATCCCCCCTTAATCACAGAGCCGGTTTGGTGCAGCAGTTATGAGCGCAGACTCTAATCTGGAAGAACCGTGTTTGATACCCCACTCTGCCACATGCAGCTGCTGGTGTGACCGTGGGTCACTCCCAAGTTCTTTCAGAGCTGTTCTCAAGGGCAGTCCTCGAAAGAGCTCTCTCGGCCCCACCTGCCTCACAGGGTGCCAGTTGTGGGGAGGGGAAGGGAAAGGGATTCTAAGGTGCTCCAAGACTCCTTCGGGTAGTGAAGGGCGGGGTATAGATCCAATTTCTTCTTCTATTTCTTTTCCAAACCCAAAAGTTCCAGACTTGGAGGATTCACTGAACCCCTGTGCAGGCACCCAATTCCAACTCCCCACCCAAAGCCACTTCTACAGACCCATCAGCCTCCAGCGTTCTACTCAAAGTTTACTTTTTAGGGTGCACTTTCAGCTCAGAGGCAAATTTTTGCAATTCTCTTTTGAATACCGGGGAAACCAGACTAAAATCAGAGCTTCTTTTCTACAGATCTAAGTAGGGATATAAAGCAAAACACACACGAAAGAGCCCCAGGAGTGCTTAGGGGAACGACATTCCATTTGTAAAGTTTCCAGGGATACGTGGCAGGACAACCTCCACTTGACATGAGCACCAGCATGATTCCAGCGTTTTGGACTCCCCTCGCCTTTTGGGCAACCAGCTCCCCATCCAATTTGGTGCTAAGCACCGCAGTTGGCAGGAAAGGAGCTGCCCACTCACTGTGCTGAAGCTCAAAGGCTTGGGGGTCTTTGTGCCAAAGTCTTGCGCTGAGCAGTTTTCATTCACGGAGGCAAAGGAAGCCACCTGCCTCCTCTTTCTTTAGGAGGCCCGCTGGTGTGAGACCACGTCCAGGAACACAGAGAGGCCTGGAGAAGCCTACGGGGACCAGTGTGCTCGCCTCGGTTTACCTGCAAAGGTGTCCATTTCTGACTCCTCACCTGTGCTCCTGTAACTGCTGCTCCAGGCTCCGCGGTAACTCCTTGCAAAAAACTTGGCAGGCGTTTTGAGCTTTTGAAAGCAGGCTGGGCTTCTGGAACAAGGAGGAGAGTTGACTTACTTGATCACCACGTCACATTTTGCACAACAATCCCTCACAGTCTTGCCGGGAGCCTTTTACAAACCTGGACCTGCGACAGGATTGGCAGGGCGGGCTGGGCTTTCTGGCGGGGCCCCTCGGCACCACCCCAAGGGAGTGCAATGCTATGCGAGCCCCGGCCGCCTGACCTGGTGTGAGTGTGTCAGGAGATCCCTCCCGGAGCCATCAGAACGGGGGTTCCCAACCAGTGTTCCCTCTAAGCTGGGATAGTGTGAGCTAGCTCACAGTTTTTTAGCCTCCAGCTCACACATTTTTTGTCTTCGCTCAGGAAGGATGGCTCCAGAGGAGACTAATTTATGCAGGAGCCAAATCGCTTGCTCACAGCTTGAATGCCAGCAGCCCACAAAGTAGAATTCTTGCTCACAAGACTCCACAGCTTAGAGGGAGCATTGCTCCCAACCAATGTTCCCTCTAAGCTGTGGAGTCTTGTGAGCAAAAATTCTACTTTGTGAGCTACTGGCATTAAAGCTGTGAGCGAGCGATTTGGCTACTGCATAAATTAGCTTGCTCTGGAGCCATCCTTCCTGAGCGAAGACAAAAAATGTGTGAGCCGGGGGCTAAAAAACTGTGAGCTAGCTCACACTAACCCAGCTTAGAGGGAACACTGCTCCCAACCTGCTTCAGCCAATGGGCACCTCTGGAATTCTGACACAGGGTGATGGGCACGACCACAAAATGGCCACCACGGGAGGCAGAGCCACAGAAACACACAGACACACAAGCAGCCCAAGGAGTGATTTTTAAAAATGCACTGGGAAAGGGGAAAGTTTGAGTCCAGGGGCCCCTTTTAAGACCAACAACATTTAATTCTGGGTATGAGCTTTCATGTAACAGCGTTCCGTGCGCCTTGGCGTCTAGTCATGCCGGCCACATGACCACGGAAACGTCTTCGGACAGCGCTGGCTCTTCGGCTTTGAAACGGAGATGAGCACCGCACCCCTAGAGTCGGATTCAACTGGCTTTCGAGCAAGGGAGACCTTTACCTTTTTAAATAGGTACCACTTCGTTGGGAAGGTAACAGCTGAAGAAGGGGGAAAAAATCAGGGAGGCATTAACCCCCCCCCCCCAAATGTAACTCATAAGAACATAAGAGACGCCAATTTTGGATCAGGCCAAAGGCCCATCCAGTCCAACACTCTGTGTCACACAGTGGCCAGAAATACCTTTATGAGCTTTCATGTGCAGGCATACTCCTTCAGAGACTGAGAGAGCATGAAACCAGTGCTGCAGTGGCGGCAGCTGCCAACGAGACAGCATTACTTCAGTCTGCACAGCCAGTGAGAAGCCCTGCTGGGCAGGAGTCCCCCCTGGCCCATCCACACTTGACAAGCGCCAGGAAAGGTGCCGGCTGGTGCCATGGCGCCCATGGGCACCACACTGGAGACCCCTGCATTAGAAGCCAGGAGGTACGAGAATACTCCCTGGAGACTTACGTGTTGCTTAGTTTGGATTAATGCTTCAGAAGGAGGCACTGTACCTGGAGCCTGTGCTGCAAATACTGAGTTTCTAAGCTTTGCCGCCTGGAGAGTAGCTGGGGATGCACGCCATTAGGGAAGACAGAGGCCGCTTCCTGCTGCTGGGATGCTTCCTCCTTGGGAGAAAGGGGAAAAGAAAACGCTCAGAACAAGAGTGGGATCCTTCGTCTACCCACAGGCCGTTTTCCGCGTCTCGGGACTCGCAGGCTGCTGCTGAGTCGGTGAGAGGCAGAGACCTGCAGAACCGGAAAGGGCGCCAAATCGGTAGCCAGGCAATTAGCCAGCAACCTGGGAGCTGAAAAACCTGGAAGGGGGTGGGGGGAGCACCTGTGCCTAATCTTCCCTCCATCCATCCACAGCCAAGACTGGAAAGGTCATTTCCAACTCCCAGGCGCCATCGCCCAATTTGTAGCCTGCACGTTTGTGCAGGAAAGCTGGAAGTGGTAGAAGGGTATTCATCTCCCAGGGGAACCCTGGAGAATCAGGAAGACGCCTTTCCCGTGGCTGGCGCACGGCGCACACTTAGTCAGTGAAGCTTCTTGCCCCTCCCTGTAACCCTTACAGGATCCCCCGCTACCTAGCCCCCCACACCCATTCTGCTTTCTCCCTTCTCAATCCCCTCCCTCTTTCCCCAGCAACAAAAACTTCCAAATCCTGCAAAGAGCGAGACAACAATAACTAGAACGTGGGGGGGGGGGGTTTTGCAAAGGAGATTAACAAAACCCATGGAAATGAAGCACCTGGTGCAGACCGCTCCCAAGGTCTTGCAAATGAGAGGTGGACGTCAGGGCGGGTCCGTCTTCTGACCTCATCTGTTCATACAGCAGCTGGACTTTGTTCAGCTCCAGGATTCCTTTCGTTCGGGCCAGGTTCTGAAGATGCTGTCTGAATGCTACGATTCCTGGATTAAAGGAACATCAGAAGAGCCCCGCTGGATCAGACCAATAGTTCATCTCATCCAGCATCTTGTCTCACACAGCGGCCCACCAGTTCCTCTGGAGGTCCAACAACAGGGCATAGAGGCTGAGGCCTTCCCCTGATCTTAAGAACACTGGAAGAGCCCTGCTGGATCAGACCAGGGGTCCATCTAGTCCAGCATCCCGTTTCACACAGTGGCCTGGTGTTTTCTCTGGAGATCCAACAATAGAGCCTAGAGGCCGAGGCCTTCTCCTGCTGTTAAGAACATCAGAAGAACCTTGCTGGATCAGACCAGGGGTCCATCTAGTCCAGCACCCCATCTCACACAGTGGCCAGCCAGGTCCTCTGGAGGGCCAACAACAGGGCATAGAGGCTGAGGCCTTCCCCTGATCTTAAGAACACTGGAAGAGGCCTGCTGGATCAGACCAGGGGTCCATCTAGTCCAGCATCCCGTTTCACAACAGAGCCTAGAGGCCGAGGCCTTCTCCTGCTGTTAAGAACGTTGGCAGAGCCCTGCTGGATCAGACCAGGGGTCCATCTAGTCCAGCATCCCATCTCACACAGTGGCCAGCCAGGTCCTCTGGAGGGCCAACCACAGGGCAGAGAGGCTGAGGCCTTCCCCTGATGTTGCCTCCTGGCTCTGGGATTCAGAGGCTTAGTGCCTCAGAATGTGGAGGTTCCCCTCAGCCACCAGGGCTAGTAGCCATTGATGGATTTATCCTCCAAGAATCTATCTAATCCCCCTTTAAAGCTGTCTATTCCTGTATATACTTGGCCTTTCAAAGGGCTTTTGAGAAGGTACCTCACCAAAGACTCCTGAGTAAATTTAGCAGTCATGGGATAAGAGGACAGGTTCTCTTATGGATTATGCAGGAATGAAAGCAGACAGTTCTCACCATGGAGGGAAGTAAGCAGTGGAGCCCCACAAGGATTGGTATTGGGCCCGGTACTATTTAAGTCATTCATAAATGATCTGGAACTAGGGGTGAGTAGTGTAGTGGCCAGGTTTGCAGATGACACAAAATTTGCCATCTTCTGGGCATGGAGCAGGAGTCACTGGGGGCATCGGGAGAGGCAGTTGTGGATTTCCTGCATTGTGCAGGGGTCTGACTAAGTGACCCCTGAGGTCCCTTCCAACTCTGTGATTCTATGATTCTATATTCAGGACGGTGGAACCCGAGGCTGACTGTGAAGATCTCCGAGAGGATGGCCACAAACTGGGTGAGTGGGCGACAAGGTGGCTAATGACGCTCAGCGTTGGTATACCTGGACTTGGAAAATGAAGCTGTTCTAACAACTGCATTCTCTCGTCCTTCTTACATTTGAGAGGGGGGGTGCTCATTGCCCCAGGCTGCTCTTCATGCAATGCGAACACAGAGACACACCCTTGAATTGCTAACAACGCCTACACACAGCTTGGTACCCCAGAGAACACCAAAAATTAAAAGGGGAGGAAAATTTTCACACACTCCATAGGAATTGCTCATATGCAGCCCCCCCCCCCAAAAAAAACCCTACTGTGATAAGGGCTGCTGAATAGCAGGGTGCCCGATATCAGATTTTAAAGAAAAGTTTTAAAACAGGGGTGTCGAACATAAGGCCCGGGGGCCAGAACCGGCCCATCCAGGGCTCTGAAGCGGCCCACGAGCAAGCACCGCAAGGGAGGGAACAGGCGACTGCTTTGGGGGGGGGGGAGTGGGCGGATCCACTCCGATTGTGGCTTCAGCAGGGCAGAACAACCTGGTCTGCAGCAGTCAAGCATCGTGGGAGTGTCTGCCCAGTGCTGCACTGCTGGCTCTCCAGTCCGCCTGTGTGGGTTCCCCTTTGCACCCCCCTCCCAGCCCATGAGGCCTTGCGGTGAGGATACGCCAAGTCGGAGCTTACCGGCTGCTGTCCTTTATACAGTTTATTTCTCCGGTACCTGGCATGACGTTTTATGGCACACATGGCCCGGCCTGACAGAGAGACATTTATGCCAGATCCGGCCCTCGTGACAAATGAGTTCGACACCCCTGTTTTAAAAGGGTCCAACAGAAGGAAGGGGGGGCAATACTAAATCTGGGCTGAGGAACGTGATGGTTGCCTGAAGAAGACCAGGGAGGTCCTGGAGAAGTCCAGCATCCATGAACGCAGGACTCGCTTCTAGGCAGGGAGTTTAGACTGACTGCAGGCAAAGGACGAGGTCTGGGCTGCACAAGCCACTTCTTGTACTGACAGGTATGAGTGACGGGCATGTTTGCTGTCCCAGCCACACTTTTGGGTGCCTAAACCTCCCCAAACACACACAGACACACAGGCTGCAGCCAGAACCAGGTGCCATAATTCATGGGCGCATTAGGGGCAGTTACCTTGTGTCAGCGACGTGTCCGATGCTCTGCGCCCCTCTCGGAAGCTGACGGGGGAGCGGTTGTGGGCCTCTCGCTTCTGAGAGGCCAGCGCCTGCATGGCGGGATTGGCGGGTCTCAGCCCGATGAAACGGGGCGTCATCCTGGGAGCCGGCTGGTTGGCCAGTACCATTTCTTTCAGGGAAGGGGTGTCTTCCAGGAAGTTCAAGTCTTGCTGGAGGGACCCCATGTCGTATTCGGAGTCAACGCTGCTCAAGGACTGGTTCTCGTCCATGGAGAAGACTTTCCCTTTAGCACATTAAGGAAAGTTCACAGTCAGTGGGAATACCGGGGTACATTAAGCAGCTGGGCGGAGAAGCTGTGGAGTATTTGCAAAGGTCAACAAATAAGCAAGAACATGTTCCTTGAACACTCCCCAACTCTGGAACACGGGGCTGATTCACACAAAGCAGTGACTTCTCCAGCTCAGTAAGGCTGTGGTCACACAGCAAGCTTATCCCGATTTATTCCCGCTATAGATTTGATCAGGAATATTTTGGGGGGGGGGGTTGGGATGATCACACACCCCCCCCCCGAACCGCTTGCATCGCGCAATGAGGCTCTGGGCACCGTCCAGATAGCCGCGCCACCCAAGCAGTGGCACAGCTTGTTTTTAAAAAAAAAACTGGCTTTGCGCATGCACATATGCACATGGCCGAATCACCACTCCCTTTGGGCTTCCCCCTTGTTTTTGGAAGGTCCCCCCCCCCCAAAACAGCGAACAAAATTAACTGGCGACCTACAACTGAGCACTGGAGTCTATATGTGCGCTTGAATGTTTATACATTGAATTTATTCATCGCAGGATTGCTCATGTGCACAATGACGGAAGCTTGGAGGGGAAAAAAACATAGCGAGAAGGGCGTTCAGACGACCTAACTGCAATCATTGCGAGAGATGGCTGTCTAGATCAGCGAAATCGTGGATTCAAAGCGCAAATATCCGGAAAGTGCTTGATTTCCCAGATGTGGGAAAACTCGCTAAGGAACGGGGAGGATTGCGCGAGTGAGCCCACTTTGGTGCGGGAGACGGATGCGGCCGTCTGATCAGCAATTTTAAATGCGAGAGGGAACAGCCGTGAAACCTGATCAAAATGACCGTGTGACCACGGCCTAAAAGTCACATGAATGGGTGTGATGTCAAGTAAAAACCTGAAAACAGCAGCCACAGCGTATCAGACCGAGAATCCATCTGGTCAGACAGATGCTCTGAGGAAACCCACGGGCAAGGTCTGCAGACGTCAGCCCTCGCCTACCTGACTGCTCTCCAGCATCTGACAACCAGAGCCGCTCGTGAACAGCCTGGGACTGACCTCTCCCGCATAAATCTGCCCTTCTAAGCCCCTGGCCACCCCCACGGCAGAGAGCTGTGAGAAGGAGAACTACCTCTCGTCTGTCTTGAGTCTCCTGCCAATCAGTTTCACGGGGGGGGGGGGACGACCACTGAGTTCTGGTACTAAGGGAGGGAGAGGAAGGTCGCTCTCCATCCGCTTCTGCTACACAGTGCATAAATTGGTCAACTACTGTTGTGTCACCCTGCAGTCACCTTCTCCCAAAGTGAAAAGCCCCATATGCTTCTGCCTTGCCCCAGAGGGAAGGCTCTCCTACCCCGTTGGTCACTGTTGTCACCCTCGTCTGCATTTTTTTCCAGCCCTTCAATATCATTTTTGAGATGCGGCAAATGCAATCAGAACTGCACACGGTATTCCAAAAGTAGTCACCGCAGGGACTTGCTTAAGGGTATTACTATAGTGGCAGTTTTATCTCCATTCCCTTCCTTGATATCCCTAGAATGGAATTTGCCTTTTTAAAAAAACAGTCATAGAACAGAATTAAAAAGGTGGCAGGGGCCTGAAGACAATCCAGCCCAACTCCCAGCACCATGCTGGATGACCCAAAGTAGCCCTGACAAATAATCATCCAATCTCTGCTTAAAAACCTCTGTGGAGGGAAAACACACAACTTCCCTGGGCAACCGATTCTACCACGCAACTGCCCTTATATGAAAAGGGTTTCCCCAGTATCCCTCCAATACCCCCACCCTTAATTTAAACCCATTATTATGTCCTCCACTACCATTTGAAACAATGCCCTACCCTCCTCTAAATGACCGCCTTTCAAACTCTGAAAAAGAATAATGCAGACTGGGGAGACATTTTCAGCAAGCTACCCACTACAACCCCCAGTCCCTGTCATCTTTCTCCCACTCTGCAGCGAAGAAGAAGAAGAGGAGGAGGAGGAGGAGATTGGATTTAGACCCCGCCCTTCACTACCCAAAGGAGTCTCAGAGCGGCTGACAAACTCCTTTCCCTTCCCCTCCCCACAACAGACACCCTGTGAGGTAGGCGGGGCTGAGAGAGCTTTCTCAAGAATTGCTCCTGAGAGAACAGCTCTGAAGGAACTAGGGCTTGCCCAAGGTCATCCAGCAGCTGCGAGTGGAGGAGTGTTGAATCAAACCTGGTTCTCCCAGATTAGAGCCCGCGCACTTAACCATCACACCAAACTGGCTCTCACACCAGACTTGTGCTAATCATCTGGTCCATTTTCCTTCACTGAAAGGCCCGTCCTTCCTGTACAGGTCTGGCTTGCCCCAAAACATCCCTTACCGTTCCTAATGCACCTTGAACCCTTGCTCCATACTCCACTGTCTTATGCACACTGTGAGATTCCTCAACTCGGCCTGCCCGGCCAGCTCTGTACGTAGAACAGGCAGCATTTCTCAGACTGCTAGTCTGGAGGTCCTGAATTTTAATATTCTACCCAGCAGCTCAAACTTGCATGACCACTGGCGCCTCTCCCACACTCCCTAACAGCCTTCTGACCCAGGACACGACATCCATGCACTTCGCACTAGGCAAGCAAGTTGCTATGCAGTCACCATGCCCACTGTGAATCCATCTTCTCTCTGTTGAGCCAGCCACTACCAGGACTGCCTTCCCCTCGAGACACATCCTTGGTGTGAGAGGACACCTGTTCCTCACCCGGAGAACAAGTTTCTTCTCCTAGTCCTTCAACAGGACGCCCTCCTCCTCCTCTGTAACGGCAGAAATGCTGCCAATGCAGGAGTGGGATCTCTCGGTCAAGTCTGCGACAGTCTCAGCCACACATCTGCAGACTCAAAACATCTTAGCAGACGGACCTTTTTCTCAAGCAGGTTAGTTGGGTTCTCTTTTAGGACTGGCTCTAAATTTTTCAAAAGCTTGCACACTACTGAACGGTGGTCAGAAACACGCGAGGGTATCACCAGAACCCCACCTACTCACATCCGGAGACCACAATGCACAGACTTTCAAACAGAAAATGTGCTTCTCGCAATCGAAGCATTGGGAATTTTTTGCAATGTGACCCTGTCCCTACTTATCAGATCACGTGGCGATACTTGTTGTGAAAGCCCTCGCCTTAGATGACCAGCTGAGCGAGGGCATCTGAAAGTGAAACGTTATCAGGAAATGCAACAACATATGCCCATGTACTGGTTTTCAGCTTCCGAAGGACAGCAGCCCTGACCCTCACTGCATTCCCTTGAGATTTGTTGGCTCAAAAGCCATTTTGGCAGCCAGTGATTTTTAGCAGCCAGACATGGGGGGGGGGGGGGGTCGAGGTGAGCGCAGTATATCCTCGAGGCACTCCTGAACACATAAAGAAATGCCTTCTACGTATCCTGAGATCTGCAGTTCAAGATGAGAGGGCTGCTTCCTCACCTTTGCACAGGAATGCTGGAGAGGAGTTTCCTTTGGTTTGCTGCCTGTGAACCACACACGCACGAGCTGGTGGCTTCTTAACGGCAACTTGTTTGCTTTCCCCAGTCTTTGCTTACTGTCATGAGATTATCTGGCCTTCTGCTTGCTTTGCCATCTGTACATTTACCCCTCTTATCTCCCTACTGGCCTGTGCAGCGAATTCATCACCAGTGCCAAGGCAATATAAACAAAGACCCTGGACTCCTTGGCACTGGCGGCTAGCTTCAGGGGGAGGGTAACGCTGAGCCTGAGACCTCGAACCCACCCCTTTGCTTGAGCGGTGTGGATCGTTACACTCCTCCTCGCCTAGAGATTTCCCACAGGCCCTTCTCATAGAATCACAGAGTTGGGAGGGACCTCCAGGGTCATCTAGTCCAACCCCCTGCACAATGCAGGGAATTCACAAATACCTCCCCCCCCACCCCCCCCTACTGACTGCTGTTCCACGCCCAGAAGATGACAAAAGAACCTCCAGCATCTCCAGCCAAAGTGGCCTGGGGAAAAATTACTTCCTGACCCCAGAGTGGCAACCTGCATTTCCCTGGGCATGTAAGAAACGGCCACAAGAACTAAGCACTCATGCAACCCTTCCTGCCCTCCCTCTCATGATCGGCCTTGTTTGCCCTAGCTCTCAGGTTGCCATCTGGTACAATCAGAAGGATGTCAACAGACATGAGCATGACACAGTCTTAAGGAACTTCCTTTGGGTATTCTTCAATGCAAGCCTGGATTCTTGGCCTCCACCCTGGACATTCGTTCCTTGCCTAACATAAGAACATCAGGGAAGCCAATGCTGGATCAGGCCAATGGCCCATCCAGTCCAACACTCTGTGTCACACAGTGGCCAAAAATACCAGGTGCCATCAGGAGGTCCAGCAGTGGGGCCAGAACTCCAGAAGCCCTCCCACTCTTGCCCCCCCAAGCACCAAGAATACAGAGCATCACTTGCCCCAGACATAAGAACATCAGAGAAGCCAACGCTGGATCAGGCCAAAGGCCCATCCAGTCCAACACTCTATTTCACACAGTGGCCAAAAATACCAGGTGCCATCAGGAGGTCCAGCAGTGGGGCCAGAACTCCAGAAGCCCTCCCACTGTTGACCCCCCCCCCAGGCACCAAGAATACAGAGCATCCCTTGCCCCAGACCGAGAGTTCCAATCTATACCCTATGGCTATACCTTGTCCTGTACCTGTGCCTGGCATTACAACCAGCTGGTTGGTTACTTCTGCCAGAGTGTGACGCCTCTTCCCACAGCGAGTGGCTTGCAGGGCAGCAAACGCTTGCGCGGGATCCTCTTCAGACTCTCCCTCCGTCTCTATGCCTTCGTCGATTGAGGTTTCCATCATGCTGCTAGGCAGAGACTGGCACCCCTTCCTCCCCATCATCGGGGGAACAGGATCCAGCAGGCAGCCGTTGAGCTAAATGCCATCACAATGGGGGGGGGGGAGAAGAGAGAAACAAAACATGGTTTTCAATGAACGCTGAACGTCTCCTCGCAGACATGTACACAAAACCTCTGTGGATCAAGGTAGGCAGGCAGAGACACAGCAGAGGCCATCTGCTGATGGAATTCAACCCAAGGGCCCCCTGAAGTGCAAAACTGCTTATCAGAACTCAGTGTTGCGCTGGCAAGAGACATCAGTAGCAAAGTCGGGGAGGTGACGACCTTTCCGAATGGGCCACCTTCTCCTGGTGAGAACAGGCAGGCTTTCTAGCTCGGCAGGGTTTCCCACTTCTCATCCAACCCCTAGGCAGATAACACAAGCTAATCCTGCAACAGGCATCTCTCGCACCATCCCCTGGGACTTGTGCGGCGTTCTGGGAAAAGTCACGGAAATGCTGCTGCTCTAATGCCACCCTGCCACAGAAATTTCTGCGAGGAACGGGAAAAGTGCAGCTTCACAATGCCGGGTCAGGCTTGCCTTCCAGATGAAGATCTGTGGGCCTTCTCGGGATCCACAGACCCAGGCGTGATCAACCAGGTATTCTCCAGTGGCCCAGCCCCATGACAATTAACAGATGTGTGAGCCCGTCCAACAGGGCTTCGCTTAGCAGGAGAGGTTCCCAGAACACCGTGTTCCAGGTGTGCTGGCTCTGAGAACCAGAAACCCTCCCAGCCAGCGGAGGAGCGACTTGGCTGCTCTCCACTAATCTGCAGGCGTTTAAGCAGCTGTTCCCAAATTCCATCAAGAAATCTGTCTTGTAGGATCAGCTTCAAAATTCAGCTAATTGCCAAACTGCTGGGGGAGGGCTAAGTGCCCACTCGTCTGGGAGCGTCTCTTAGTCTGAAGCCACTGCCGCATGGTCTGCCACATGAGAAACACACGTGCTTCTTGGACAAGGCTTCGGGTTTTGAATGGGAAAAGCACCCAGCAGGTGAATGGGGCATTAGGGAGGGGTGTGAGTGTCAGATAAAGGGCTAGGTCTCTAGAAAGCTCCTGCATGGGCACAGAACCTGCACTGACCCTACCAAAAAGGGGGGTGGGGGAAGCTGCCTTTATTGTACTGGCTAAAAGACAGGACACTAATACACTAACATCAGTAATTATCATTAAAAGGTAAATCAACTATCTCCAAGATACATGGTCGCTGGATGGATGAAAAGACCCAAAAAATACAAAATAAAAATCAAGCAGCGCTTTTGGCAAAATATTTCAGCTTTATGTTTTTACGTTTTCCTTATGTGAAATATGAAATTTCAGGAGAGTTTCATGCAGGAGGAGGAACCTGGGCAGAAACCAAAGAAGGCAGTTCCAAGGGCTGATTCCGCAAAGCGAGAAAGCAAAGACGCCGGACGAGAGGCCATGTGGCTGAAGGAGCTTCTCTGGCAAGTCTTATGTGCCTGAACGTTACCCTGTTGTGGGTCTGATGAATCACTCACACCAGGGTTTTCAGGAGAGTTTCATGCAGGAGGAGGAGCCTGGGCAGAAACAAAAGAAGGCAGTTCCAAGAGCTGATTCTGCAAAGCGAGAAAGCAAAGACGCCGGACAAGAGGCCACGTGGCTGAAGGAGCTTCCCTGGCAAGTCTTATGCGCCTGAACGTTACCCTGTCGTGGGTCTGATGAATCACTCACACCAGGGAACGCTGCGCAGGCCTGTTCAGGGAACAACCGCTGTGCGCATCTCTCTCGATCGGGCACTCCCAACCAGTGTTCCCTCTAAGCTGAGTTGGTGTGAGCTAGCTCACAGTTTTGTAGCCTCCGGCTCACACATTTTTGCCTTAGCTCAGGAAGGAGGGCTCCAGAGACAACTGATTTATGCAGCTCCAAATCACTCGCTCACACCTTTAATGCCTGTAGCTCACAAAGTACAATTTTTGCTCACAAGACCCCACAGCTTAGAGGGAGCATTGTTCCCAACCTTTCTGAACCGGTGGGCACTGTTGCGATTTTGAGACAGTGAGACAGGCAAAACCACAAAATGCCCGCCATGGAAGGTGCCACCACACAGGCACACACAGAGGAAACCCAAGGACAGGGGGCAAGAGAAGTAATTTAAAAAAAACAAACCCTGGGGAAGAGGAGTGAAGAGAGAACAAATTCCACAGTCCAGGGGTGTCAAACATAAGGCCCGTCCCAGGGCTCTTATGTGGCCCGCGAGCAACTAGTGCAAGGGAGGGAACAGGTTTTCCTTTGCACCCCTCTCTCAGCCCATGAGGTCTTGCAGTAAGAATACACCAACTTGGAGCTTACCAGCTGAACTGCAGACCGGAAGGTCTGTAGTTCAGCAGTTCGAGTCTCTGGCCCCAGCTCCTGCCAACCTAGCCGTTTGAAAGCAAGAAATTGCAAGTAGATAAATAGGTACTGCTTTGGTGGGAAGCGTTCCGTGTGTCTTGGTGTTTAGTCATGCCGGCCACATGACCACGGAGACATCTCTGGATAGTGCTGGCTCTTCGGCTTGGAAATGGAGATGAGCACCACATCCCTAGAGTCGGATTCGACTGGCTTTCGAGCTACTTGTGTTTTTGATGGGGAGGTGCATGGTCGGAAGTTCTACTCTGGACGCCTGTAGTTCCCTTAATTAGATACCTAAAACCCACCCTAACTGAATCATCTTACGCAAGAGCGAATGTGGCCATTGCCACATCATATGGGCAGCCACTCTTCCACACTTGGAAGTAAAAGGACACAAGGAAACTGTAAACAAGTGCTACACCTCTGGAACAAAACGATACAAAAACAAGATATTCTTCTCACAAACAATGTATATGATGACAATAAGTGTCAAGTGCACTCACTGCAAGAGGTCCTTAAAGACAACTGTTGACCAAGCTCTCTTGAGACGCTTCTGGGCAAAGGCATGCCCTGCCCAAGTGCCCAGCGCGGGAGCTCTTTCTGTGCTCCCCTTGCCCCAGTTGGCGGGTCAGGGGACCACCTGGGCCGCCGTCAGCAGCCCGCTTTGGAGACTGCCAGGCAATAATCCTGCACTGCGCAGATACCTCTTCGGGGGGCAAAGTTATCTATTCCGTTCTGGTTCCCCTTCTCAAGCTAAACATGATCACAAGCTAAACATGAGCCTGCAGTGCGATGTGGCTGCGAAGAAAGCGAATGCAATCTTAGGAGGCATGAACAGAAGCCTTGTGTCCAGATCACGGGAGGTGGTCGTTCCGCTCTGTTCTGCTATGGTCAGGCCTCACCTGGAGTCCTGTGACCAGTTTTGGGCCCCACATTTTAGGAAGGATGTGAACAAGCTCGAGCGTGTCCAGTAGAGGGCAACTAGGGTGGTGAGAGGGCTGGAATCCAAGTCTTACGAGGAAAGGCTGAAAGAGTTGGGTCTGTTTAGCCTGGGAAAGAGAAGGCTTAGAGGGGACATGATTGCAGTCTTCAAGTATTTGAAGGGCTGTCATGTAGAAGATGGAGCAGATCTATTCTCTCTTGTTCTGGATTGCAAGTCTAGATCTAATGGGTGGAAATTACAAGGGAGTCATCACTGGTTAAATATCAGGAGAAACTTCCTAACCGTAAGAGAGGTTGAGCAGTGGAACAGTCTGCCTCGGGAGGTGGTGGATGCTCCTTCGCTGGACGTTTTCAAGCGAAGGCATGGACGACCATCTTTTGGGTATGTTGTAAGTATGTCGGGCTATCTTTCAGCTATGCTCCTGCAGAGTGCAGGGGGTTGGACTAGATGACCTGCAAGGTCCCTTCCAACTCTAACATTCTATGATTCTCCATTTTAGCACCAAAGCGTGCAAGTCAGCTGTGCGTGTGTATTGGGGGGGGGGCTGCCATCTTACAAGCTCTTCTATAAAATATACATTTAGGAAGGTTAAGGATGGGGAGATAGACCAAGTGTCCCATTTCAAATATTTGGGTACAGTCTTTAGTTGCAATTGCCATGGGAAACATCATATAAGAGCAGCAACTGAAATTGCTAAAACAAACTCTAATGCCCTTCTTCGGTTCTACTACTCAAGAGGCGGCCAGTATGTTTCGATGGCCATTGCAGCGTTTAATGTGAAAGTTACTTGGATTAAAGAAATTTCTGACTCATCGGATCAGATCCTTCTCCAGTTCCTGCGTAGAAATGTTCCTTTGAGTCAAGAGCCTGGAAGGCCGCCTTTAAATTGAGACTGAAAGTTCTCTACATGACACCTAATGCCCAAGGGGGTCTTCTCTATTTCTTAAAGGAAGATAATTATAAATGCACGTGGGCAAAACATGTAGATAACAAGCTGGAGAGGACTGGTCTTGCCCCTACAGTGCTTAACGATATAAACAATCAAGAAGCACTAAATTTGATTACATTGAGGGTGGCAAACATTGAAAATATACATTTACAAATGTTGCCCCCCCCCCAATAACTGCAGACCTACTTTGTCTCATCTGTCTGGTAGGACAAGAGGATATCAGCCTACAAAGCCCCATATGTGCTGCTCTCATATAAATAAATATAGAACACTTCCAAACTGGCAATCAATGCATCAGTGGTATAACGTGAATCAGACGAAACAAAAATATGTCAGTTTTAATGAGGCAATTAATGTGCAAGAACAGAAAAAGTGACTGAGGAGATATACCTCCTCATGTAGAGACATACACACACCCACACACACACACACACACTCACACACACACGTATCTGACCTATACTGCGTTTCAGCTGCAAGAACTGTCGCCTCCTTCCCTTCCTGCCAGCTCACATCGCCCAAGTTATCCCCCCCCCTTCCCTTTAGGGACATCACCATGGAGTCTAGGCTGGATGCGTCAACGTGTGCCACGCCGACTGGAGCCACGGCACCCTTGCGCAACTGTGGAGCTGTCGCTTCTCATTAGTCGCACTCCATTCCAGCCCGTTAACTGTCGAGGGGCAG